TCCTTTACACAAAGTCTGTTGCGTACGTGTGTGTATATATATATGTGTGTGTGTGTAAGAAAAGGAGAGTTTCCAGTTAAATCCACTTTCTGGCTCACTACTTATAATCTATTAGTAGCATGTACATAATATTGGGAAGAATAGTGTATATAATGACGATTGATGGCACCTTCGATGCGGATTTTCGCGTTGTCGGGGCACTGCATGATGGAGGCTAGGAGTTTCAGAGTCCCCACAACGTAAGGCACCTATCACTTTTGCCTGAGCTCGGATTGAATGTGTGATAATTTCAGGCATAATAATTACGAACCACACCTATTTAGCATAGCTCATTAAACTCACTGGCATAGAGCTTTCTAACCGCGTCAATTGTCGCTCAGCTCTCTCAATTTGCTCTAGTGGTGCATCCACGGAGACCTCGCGGTTGATGGCCTCCAATTCATTTTCAGCGTTTGAAACCTCTTCTTCGACCTCCTGAAAAAAAGAAACATTTTAATTTGTAGGGGAAAAAGATACCCGGCACTTCTGTAGTACGTCTATCCATAATCGCCAAATTTTAGCAAGACAACATTTTTCATAATGCCAACCTACCTTGCTGGTTCAGTCCATCCGATTTATCTTTCGTGTATATCGACTATTTGTGCATTGATAAGTAGGTTTTCGAGACTATCAGTAGAAACATGGGGTCTACTATTATGATTATGGGAAAACTAAGTTGCCACTCTTTCATAACCTTAATAAAATAGAGTAAATACGTCTCATATGTCGACTACCATTTCATTGACTTGATATTACAGCTAATCCTCAACAGATGTCATAGTAGCTGCCTCTCTTGAGGCTACAAAGAAAGATATTTTAGGAGTAAATAAGGTGTCATCGAATCAAAACTAAAGAAATAAGATGCAATCAAATGTTCTGGGAACTTGCCAACTTGCTCCTATTTCTCAGGTGTAGGTTATGTGTGCTATGAGGATGTATTCTGGCTAAAATTTTTGTATACTTTATAGGACACTAATCGGCGATTTTGAGGATTTTCGGCGAAGATAGAGAGGGTTTCGCTGGAACCTTTAGGATAACGTTGTTTTGGAGACTTCTATTTTATAACAAAATGTATTATGAAGGGATTCGGAAAATAATTATTCTTTAGGCTTAATTAATAATAATATCGTTTAATTGAGAAATAATGTCCATACGGAGAATATTTTGTCCGTGATAAGCAAGCCGTCCTAATTTTGCCATAATGCTTTCTTTCTAAAAAGATAGGCAAACTAGTGAGTAAATAGGGGATAAAAACAGGTTTTACAGTAACATGACACTTACAGCATTATCTGCTCCTGTTATAGACCTTATGCTGGTGAGACCTGTCGGTCTATCAGCCAAAGCTTAAATGAGCATAAAAAATGCTTGTAATGGAGGCTGGGTCCAACAACCAGAAGTGGCTGAGCACAGACTAGAAAATAGGCATGAGATATAATGGTCTCGAGCGTAGAGGTTTCACTCCTTATGATACGTCTGCTATGAGAGCTTATTGAAAGTTTAATGTGAGGAATGGAGGTGGGAAGTTGAGTAAAAATGACTTATACCTGATTAAGAGAATGCGAGTGCGTCTAGTAAATCGTTGAACAAAAGAACTTAGTGATTGTTCCAAGTAAAATTGGCTGATTAAGATCTAGGCTTTCAGTCCTCACATTACCTTAAACCAACTATGGTGACAAGGTTCTTATTCCTTTGTTTATGTTTC